TCAGCAGAAGCGCGCACGCGGCCTGTGTTTCAGGTGCGATGAAAAATTTAGCCCTGGCCACCGCTGCAAGCTCCGACAATTGCAAGTGCTTCTCGCCGCGGAAGAAGAGCCGGGACGAGAGGAGGGTTGCAGGGAGGAGGGGGAGACGTCGACGGAAGAGGAAGACGAGGCTTCAGAGGAAACGGCAGCCCTATCCTTAAACTCGATTCGGGGGTTCACGACGGCAAAAACCATGAAACTACAGGGGACAATCGGCGAGCGGGAGGTCATCGTGCTGGTGGACAGCGGGGCATCCCATAGTTTCATTTCGGCCCAACTAGTCCAGTAGCTTGCTATTCCCATAGACTTAACAGTCCGGCACAAAATCCAGGTAGGGAATGGGATGAGTTTCCAGGAGAATGGGGTCTGCCGAGGGGTTCGGATACTAGTCCAAGGCTTGGGGGTCGACGAGGATTTTTTCCCGTTTGAGTTAGGCAGCGGAGACGTGGTATTGGGGGTGACATGGCTCAAAACGCTGGGAGAAGTACGGGCAAACTGGGCAAAGTTCACGATGAAGTTTCAGAGGGATGGGAAATGGGTCAGTTGGACGGGGGACCCGTCGTTGAGCTGCTCCCCGGTGAGCTTCCGTTCCTTGACTCGCTCGTGGAGCCCTGGAGAACTTGGAATACTGCTGGAACTCTGCTTAGTGGAGGCTGGCACACCAGAACCGGCAACACCTGCGTTAACCGTGGAATGCGAAAACCTCATCCGCGAATTCAGTGGGGTTTTCGATACACCTAAGGGACTGCCCCCGCAACGAACCAGGGAGCACAGGATCATCTTGCAAGGAGGGGCCTCACCCCTGAACATCCGACCATATAGGTACCCCCACATACAGAAAACTGAGATAGAAAGGCAGGTCTCGGATATGTTGATGTCAGGCATTATCAGGCCGAGCTGCAGCCCGTATTCCAGTCCCGTTCTGCTTGTTAAAAAGGACGGCAGCTGGCGATTCTGCGTGGACTACCGAGCATTGAACTAATTGACGGCGCCCGACAAATTTCCGATTCCCGTCATCGACGAACTATTAGACGAGCTGCATGGGGCCACCGTGTTTTCCAAGCTAGACCTGACCGCAGGCTACCACCAAATCAGAGTTCGGGAGGGTGACGTCGAGAAAATTGCCTTCCGAACTCACGAGGGACACTACGAATTCCTTGTCATGCCTTTCGGCTTGACCAACACCCCTGCCACATTTCAGTCACTGATGAATGCGGTATTTCGCCCTTACCTCCGTAAATTCGTTTTGGTTTTTTTTTTGACATTCTTGTGTACAGCCCTACGCGGGAGGCCCATTCCGATCATTTGCGTCAGGTTTTGACCATCTTGCAGCAGGAGAAACTCGTAGCCAACTACAGGAAATGCTCTTTTGGTAGGGAACGGATTGAATATCTGGGCCACGTGATTTCTGCCGGGGGGGTGTCCGCTGATTCCACCAAAGTCGAGGCCATGCTCTTATGGCCGACCCCGCGGAACATCCGAGAACTCCGTGGGTTCTTAGGCCTTACTGGATACTACAGGAGATTCGTGCAGGGGTACGTGGCTATAGTTAGGCCTCTTACCGAACTACTTAAAAAGGGGACGTTTCAGTGGTCCGACCCTGCCGAAGTGGCCTTCCGCCAGCTGAAGAAGGCCATGACAGAATTACCGGCAATGCCGGATTTCACCAAGTCTTTCGTCCTCGAGACGGACGTGTCCGGAGGAGGGGTTGGGGCCGTGCTCATGCAGGACGGAAGGCCAATTGCTTATTTCAGCAAGGCCCTATCGGCTAGTTCGAGGTTGGCATCGGTGTATGAGCGTGAGCTTCTCGCAATAGTGCTCGCAGTGCAGAAATGGCGCCACTATCTACTGGGCAGGCATTTTGTGGTGCGGTCAGACCAGCAGAGTCTGCGCCATCTACTGGAGCAGCGAGTCCTTCCCCCAGGGCACCTTCGGCTAATAGTCAAACTATTGGGGTACGACTTTGAGGTGCAGTATAAGCAAGGCGCCTCGAACAAGGTGGCCGACGCATTATCACGGAGAGGGCCCGAAAACTCTGCCACCTTCACGGCCTTGTCTGTCCAAAGGCAGTTTGACTCCAAGGCCCTCGTCAAGGAACAGCACGCCGATTCCGAGTGCAGGGAGAGTTTCATGAGATTCGACCAAGATCAACCGCTCAAGGAGGGATACGACATCCGCCAGGGCCTCCTGTTTTTTCGAGGTCGAGTTGTGATCCCGCCCACTTCTCCTTGGGTCTCACGTATCCTACACGATTTCCACACCTCTGTTATGGGCGGCCACTTAGGTTTTTTACGCACTTACAAGCGGATTTCAGCTGTCTTTTTTTGGAAGGGGATGAAGAAGAGTATCAAGGACTATGTGGCCCAATGCTCCATCTGCCAGCACGCCAAGACAGAAGTGGTTTCACCCGCTGGGTTATTACAGCCGCTGCCCATTCCGCACCAAATTTGGGAGGACATATCAATGGATTTCATAGGCGGTCTCCCTAAATCCAAAGGTATGGACACCATTTTTGTGGTAGTCGATAGACTTTCCAAATACACACATTTTTGTCCACTGTCACATCCTTATTCAGCCACACAAGTCGCTGCCCTATTCGTCCGGGACATTGTGCGACTTCATGGGTTCCCCCGCTCCATTGTTAGCGATAGGGACTCCGTTTTCATGAGCCTCTTCTGGCGGGAATTGTTTAAACTACAGGGTACTAAGCTGCACCCCAGCACCGCTTATCACCCTCAAACCGATGGACAGACTGAGGTGACTAATCGGTGCTTGGAAACTTACCTCCGCTGTTTCGCGTGTGACAAGCCGCGACAGTGGCTCTCTTTCTTACCATGGGCAGAATACTGGTTTAATACGACGTATAATGCGTCTATTAAACGCTCCCTCTTCCAGGTAGTGTACGGGCGTGACCCTCCTGCCCTCTACCGTTTCATAGAGGGAACAGCAGCGGTCGACACGGTTGAAGAGCAGCTGCAGCACCGCAACCAAATGTTGGACACCCTTAAACATCATCTCCTACTAGCCCAGCAACGCATGAAGAAATTCGCCGACAAACACCGTCGAGAGGTCCAATTCTCCCCTGGAGACTTAGTGTTGCTCAAACTACGGCCCTACTTCATGAAATCTTTGGCCCGGAAAATCAATGAAAAGCTTAGCCCCCGGTTTTATGGGCCATTTCCAGTCCTGGTGCGTGTGGGACAGGTCGCATACCACCTGGATTTGCCGGCTACCGCCAAGATACATCCGATATTCCATGTGTCCCAGTTGAAGGCTTTCAATGGTAACTTGGAGCAGGGGCAACCCCTGCCGGAACAGCTTACTGGCGACTTGGAACTCATCGTGCAACCAGTTGCAGTCTTGGAGGTGCGCACCATCAGCACTGGGGGGTGTCAGGTGCCTGAGGTCTTGATCCAGTGGGCGGGTTTACCAGCATGGGATGCGACATGGGAGCCACTGGCCACAATAACCGAACAATTTCCTGCTTTCAACCTTGGGGACAAGGTTGCTCTTCAGGAGGGGGGTAATGTTAGGCACCCGCCCCTTAGGTTTGTTTATGCCAGGAAAAGAAAGAAGGAAGGGGCAGGGGTAGTTCCGGGATTGAACTTGAATTAGCTGGAGGGAAGTTTGTTACAAGAAGGTCTTGGGCGGGTGAGGATCCCGAGAGTCTGTTAGGGAGAGTGAGTAGAATAAATAGGAGAGGTCTGTAATGGAAAAGGGCAACGAGAATCTTTGAGAGAACTTAGGAGGTGGAGGTTAGGAGGAGTCCTCGAACTCTCCTTCATTTTATTTTCCCCAGTGTATTTGTTTCCTGTAATTTGGCTTTGCCTTGATCAATATAAGAAACCAGACCACTTTTCTGGTTGAGTTCTTCACTATTCCATCATAAATATCGTTAAATTGCTAGGTTCCTAACACTTTTCCCATACCGTACCAGTTACCGTAAACGATTGCTCTTAACAGCAAAGATGTTTCACCAGATTTCCAAATACACACACACATATACACAAAGCACTAAACTTAGATTTATTAGATTTGTTGGCAAAACATCAGCATTAAACTCGATATTTTAGCAACAGTGCAAGAGTTTAAATGTATAGACTGCCCCCACGAAACGTGAATCTTTGCTGGTGGAAAAAAAAAGGCTTAACAGGGTTTTGATCAAACAAAATGGCTCAAGTTTTTGGTTCTTGCAGATTGCGGGTTATTTGGATGCAGTTAAATGGAAGGAGGGTCACGGTCAGGAACAGTATGCTTCTTTTTATGAAGAATCAAATACCTAGTTTCTCTTTGAACATCAACAGAGAAAGCTCTCAAGCCTTATATATTTTGTTTAAAATGTTGGTTTTCGACGTTTCTATGACCTGTCTAATTCTCTCTGTTTCTGTTTGCTTATTTTCCCTTCTGGCATTACCTTGTCTTTTGGGCGTGTGTTCCACTTTAGAACTTATTCTCAACAATAATCAGTCTGTTTTTTCCCCTAAAAAAAAAATCTGCTTACCAGCTAACATCCGAGCTATTATCTACTTTTAGGAGATGGTCAACACCACTAGAACCAGTTACTATGAATTCAGACGGACTTCCATAAGGAATTGTAGCCTGCACCACAAAAAAAAAAAAAAAAAAAAGAAGAAAGGAAATAAGGTGACCACCGCCAAAATTGTCACAACATAAATAGTTCCTGAATGCAATGCATATATGGGTCATTCCCCCACATGACATGATAAATGCTAAGGCCAAAAACCAACTTTTTCTAAACCCTGGACTACAAAAAACTTAATAAAGAAAAAAATTAAGAATCAATACAGTTGTGGCTGGTGAAAACTTTTCAGTGTGTACAACACTACTGGAGCCACTGCCCTTAATACTGTAAGCGTCCCTTTTAATTGCCAATGTAGCTTGTTCCCATATATCAATATATCCAGCCTGAAAAGGGGAAGAGAGATAACAACATGGCCTACAAATTAGTAAATATGTTTCTACAACTGGCAGCGAAAGAAACCACAGATTAGTAACTTTAAGAGGCATTCAAAGATATGTCATACCGACAACAATACTTTATAAGAAGCATGGCCACTATGAAGAGTCTTCTCGATGTGGTTTTGCATTTCAGGATCTATGACAAAAGAGAATTAAAAAATGGATTTTTTACCCCCAAAACAATATCAATGTATAGAGAGAAATAGAGGGCCGTAATGGATAAAAATTGCCCAAGTAAGAAATGGAGCTAGCACCGAATATATATATATATATATATAGACACACATACACAAATGTGTGTGTGCACACACATCATATGTGATAAAATTTAACCTCTTAACCAACTTAACAAAAGACAACAAGAAACAGGGAAGAAAAATTACTCACCACACGTGATCTTTTTGTTTCCATTGGCAAAGACCTTTACAAGCTCGCCCTATGAAAGAAAAGTGAGAAGATTATAAATATGTGTGTATATATTATGTATTATGAATGTGTAATCGTCCTAATTTACATAATTTACAATTGCATTGTCCTCGTAATAGAGTGTGCAGTTCTTTTGCTTTCCACTTTAATAATAATTCACAAAGATTATCAAGTGATAATGTGACCCATATTAGATGCCTTTACAACCAGCAAAGAGCACATACTTTTCGCTTCCTGTTATCTAAAGGCTGGACTTCAATAGCAAGGTACGTATCAACATCATCTGCAGTGACAAGATAATTTGGTTGTTTGGCACCTGCCATAAAACGAACCACAATGCAGATATCTTTGAGGAAGAAGCATAGAGGGGGAAAAAAAAAAACAAAAAAATATGATCGCGGGGTGAAAGGATAAGAAATAGTACCCTCAATATAATTGACAGATCCATCTTCTAGATGACGCACCCACTGAAAATGCAAAAGATAATGCAAGCTCTGTTAGTCTGCAGTTTACATGAGTATCTGACAAACCCGCACGAAATAATGGTTTTGTGGTGTATTACAGAGGACACAAGAGACGAAATAGAGATTTCACTGTTGAAAAAAAAAAAAAAATTACACCTCAAAATTACAGCTGGTTGTTCCATTGATAGAGTACCCACATGCTTGAAGTTCACGTCCTGGATAAGCTTCACCTGAAATCTGGAGGTCATGTATTGCTGGTAAGAGATCGTCATCTGCAGCTGTGTACCGCAAAATATTTAACTTCATAAGAAATCGAACTATGATATATGCCAAAGCTTATAATGAAGTAGCTAATAGGAATTGCCAAGCACTTTTTTTGGAGAAGCAAATAGAAGCGATGAGTCTAAAGTTCCATAGATACTAGAAATTCATTACCCTCTGAAAATGAGGAAGAAGGCTCTTCTAAAACCGGTGGTAGGTAAGGCGAATATGAAGAGCTGAGATCGTCCAATGTTGTCATGTAAGGAGGGTGTGCTGAACTCCAATTTGCAGGCATTTCTCTCTCATTTGGGTTACCTTCTGCATCTTGGTCATCAATGTCACTGTTTCGGACAGGGTCCCGAAATGTGACCTGTTTATTGGAGGTTTCTTCACTGTACTGAGTAACATGTGTGTCACCCCGACTCATAGGTACTTGTGTAGGTAGATCTTGTGCTACCGAAGTCCTGCCAAATATGGGGACACATTAGCGAGAGACCTAACTACAATTGTCAAACAATTTGAACACATTATGGAACAAGCAGCAACCCACCAACATTCTCTAGATATACATAGAGGTAGACATAATAATCAGTAATACGAACAAGGAAAGAAATTTCAAGAGGAAAGGAGTGCATGATAGAATTAGAGGTCAGATCATTGAGATCCCTTGGAGGATAGTAGAGAGAGAGAAAAAAATGAAACGATGGGAGAATTACAGGAAACTATTTTTTTCCCCCTTCTCTTGATAGCAAAATTACATTAAACATATTTTAATCATTTATTTTACTCATTAAAATAAAAGGGGAAGAAAATGACAGAAGCTTTAAGGAACAATTGAACTCGGTCCCATGTCCATCAAAGAAAAAATCATACTACAGCCTTACAGTAGAAACAAAAGCAGAACATCCTTAAATTTGTTCAAAGTGGAAAACAAAGTCGACAAAAACTACGCACTTTTACAAAGAGACCCATTTTTTTCAAAAAAAAAAAAAAATTGAAAGTATTCTTATTCTTAATAACCATATTCCATCAACACATTCCGAAGCACTCCCATTAACTGCTGCAACTCCACTAAAGAAAAGCATTTTGACTTCTTCCTAACATGATTGGTCACCATTAATGCAACAACGCAAAAGTTCGACGAAATTAGAACCCACCAACAAATGCAGATGGTTGTAATTTGTATTCAGTTCACAGAAGCAGTCTCCATTTGACCAGGCTCACCTGCTTGCAAGAGGTGAATACCTCACCACGTCATCGGGTTCCAAAAGTTTTGCTGCACCACCAACGCCATCGCCCTGTTGACGAACCAATATATCCCAGTCTGTATTTGTTTGACCATCGGGAGTAGACAATGGTGCTTTTCCATGGGAGTATGTTGGCTGAGGAACCAATTCAAGCCCATTTGTAGGGCTCTGAAAAAACAAACAATAATTATAAGAAAAATCTAGGGAAACACTAAGAGAAGACATAGTAAAAATATGAGCATACTGAAGTCGCCAATGCTGCGCCAATGGAGGGAGAAGGAGAGGGCGGGGCAACATTTGAATGGTTTACATCCGAACGCCAAGGGGTCAGCTGATACTGTGATTCCTTTAGCTTTGACTAGGAAGAACGAAGTAATATAGACACCCACAGTCAATTTAGAAAAGACCAAGGCTTGCTTCAAACAATTTATCACAGATTGACAATTGGCATCAAGAATTTAGGACAGATTAGGCATGCTACTGATAGTGCAGCATATATAAAAATGCATTCGCAATACATACCTCAGTAAGGAAAAGTTTCTCTTGCAAATGTTTGAAAAGAACCTGCAAAAAGAAGAAGACAATCGTAAACAAACTCGAGATATATGTTTAAAAGGTTCGAGCGATACAAAGGAACAAAAGTATTACCACAAGAAATCATGATATTTAAAAACAAAGAGGATAAATTCCCTTCAACATACCTAGAATTTCAAATGAGTGTTGGCATAATTTCCACATCACTCCTATTCTCCCATGATCCCCACCCGAGAGAAAAAGAAAAACATACAATTGGAAGGTAAAGGTTTTCAAAGAAATCACTGTTTAAAGTATACCATGAAATGGCATCGTCTTCAAAACCTAAAATGCATACTAAAAGTTTTTACTCTTTTTTTTTTTTTAAATATAAAAAAGTAAATACACACACACACACACACACACGGCAAGTGGTAGATGAATAGTCTTGGTGTGAACTTTAAGAGAGAGAGAGAGAGATAAAGGGAGATGACTAATAAGATGAGCTAAGAATGAAAAGCTTTATTCATGTAACAAAAAAAGATGTCAAATTCAAACTAATCTATATTTGGAGGGTGGCGTTTTTATCTACTCGAAACACGATACTACCAAAGACTATCTAAGGCTGACCTTGACATTGCTGACAATTGATTGGGCATCGGGAACAGGTGGCTGCAGAGAGTACTCTGCAAGAAGAGGCAACAATGACGAAATAAATGTTGATCTTTCTTGTTGTGCATCCTGGAAAAAACAAAGACAAAAACAATTGCACATTTGAGCTAAAACTACAGTAAAATAATTTCTCTATGAACACCATTCGCGGCATCAAAAGAGCCCATAGAGAAATCATGAGCGTCAAAAGAAAGAACACCTGTAATGCATATGTGAGACGTATATTTTCTTCAATAATATCCTGTCTGTATGATAGAGCTTTGGATGCAGCATCAACAAGCTCCTGTTGCTGCTGATCAAATGCCTAGTAGAATGATAATAACAACATCCATCAAAAGATAATTCCAAACCACCAAACAAGAAGGCAGAGACAAAAGAATCTTTTTGTTTCATTTAATTGATAAGAGAGAAAACATTTCCAAGTGGGTTAATGTCTAGCCTCTAGAAAACCAGAAATATAAAGAGATGTAGTATTGACAACGGAATATGAAAAATGTTCTGCCCTCCCTCCCTACCAGACGCATATAAGCAATTCGCTTCTCCAGAACGTGTTTTTCATTACGTACTTGCGCTTCCTGTCATAAAAATTAATCGAATGTGTTAGGATTAGATTGCAAAGATGCTGATTAGTTAGTTAGAGCACTGTCCACGTGTAAAGCTTGCATTGGCAGACTCTAGTTATTGTAACAGAATTAGTTAGTTGTACTTTTATCTAGTTCTAGTACTTACAGAGCAACTGCTCTACAAAGAGAGAAGTATGATACAAATCGAGTAAATATCCAAGCATCATTTATTATTATTATTATTATTATCGTTATTGTTTTACCTTTATAGAATAATCAGCAAGGTGTTTGCGGAGCTGCATAATCTCTTCTTCATGATCCTGAATCTTAAGAGCGAGATCCTATTAAAAATTAAAAATACTTGTGAGCTCCATTAAAATAAAAATTAAAAAGAAAAAAAAAATGTTAAGCTAATAGAGAAGTTTCATTTCGTTTTGTAATTGGAAAATGACAAGTACCCGCTTCCAGAGGGTGTTAGGGTTATTAACGTCGGCCACCGGCATCAAGCCTTGTGCAGACATGTTTAACCGCGGATCATACTCTCCTTCCATTTGAAACCTACAAAGAGCCAAAAAAAAAAAAAAAAAAAAAGAGAGTAAATTAGGATTTAGAAAGAAAGAAGCATGAATGATTCGAAGTGAAATAATGTCAACAACAAGAATACCTTGTGGGTAAGAATGATGCTGTGGACGGAGAAGAGAGGGCGGCGGCGGCGGCGGCATTATTGGCAGAAGAAGGCTGAGCAGCGGAAATGGAGCCGTTAATCTTGGCGGAGGAGTTGGAGAGTAGGGTGGTGGTGGTGGTGGTTTTGGGATGATTTTGTGTTGCAGAAATGTCATCACTGTCATGTTCATGTTGTTGTTGTTGTTGGTGGTGGTGGTGGTTTGGTAGTACTTGGTAAGATCCAACATGAGACCTTGTTTGTAATTGTGACATTGACTCCTCTACTTTCTGCCCAAACCAAATTCACCATTTCTAAATTCAATTCAGCTTTTCAGTTTTTGTTGATTTTAGTCAAATGACACAAGAGAGGACAACAAGACTCAAACTTTCTTAAATAAAATCTTTCAAAATAAAATAAATGAATTACATAATTTGATGAATTGATTGTTGATAAGAAAGAAAGAAAGAAAGACAAATACTATACTTGATAGCGGTCGAGAAGGAGAATCTTGTGCTGGAGCTCAGCGCGGAGGCGGTTGTTCTCTTCGACCTGTTGCTTAATGGTTGCCTCGGCAGCTTCCACGGCTTTCATAACCTGAAAAAGACTGCTTGAATTCTTATTATCGTTTTCGTTATTCTCATCATCAAACCCTAACTTCATCCCTGACAATTTCTCCGCCACATCGTACCCATTCTCCATCGCCGCCGCTACCTGACCTCAGGAGATTCAATTCCAATTCCAATTGATTTTGATTTTTAGGGTTTTTCTTTCCTTCTTTCTTTCTTTCTTTCTTCTTCTCCTTCTTCTTCGATTGAGAAGATGGAAATAATAATAATAATAATAATAAACGGGTATCGAACTGAACTATCGCTCCATAGTCTTACTCAGAGACTCAGACTCAGCCCAGCTCAGCACCGAAAGCTGAAGATTGTAGTTTGTTTTTTTTTTTTTTCCCCCTTAATTCTTAATTCGATTTTATTACCCCAAAACAATATTACTAATTAATAAATTAATTAAAAAGAGATTTTCAGCAGGTCAAATTTTTTTAAATACTGAATCTACGTATTTTTTAATTTTTATGTGATATGCATATTTAATTTTTTTAAATATTGAATATGTATATTAAGTACTGAAAAAAATTAATTAATTAAAAGCCATTTTTAGAGAATTAATTAAAAGCCCCTTTTAAAAAATATTTATATAAATTAGAAGCAAATTATTAAAAATAAATAATCATAGTAAAGTAAAAAAAAAAAAACCAAATATTATGTATGTGTCAAAAAATCTATTGTATACGTATCGTCTTATCTTCAGCCAAAAATTGCTGGAAAAAAACTCTCGTCATATACAAGGCTAGGCCAGTATTAATACGTGTATACGTTCATATTACTTTTTTTTTTTTAGTGTGTATATTGATCTTAAATAACTCGTATATAATAATTTCATAAAAAAAAAAATACGCATATAGATTATGTAGTGTTCCCATGCCACGCGCTGCTATATATATTTTATCGGAAACAAATGATGATTGATGATTATGATGAAATGCTCCATCATATAACCTTATGTCACACTACAATATCATTTCTTCCATCATAGCCCCGCTGACATTTCTCATGCTTGCCCTTTACGCCATTCCTTCTCTAATCTATCTATCTATCTATCTATTGTATAATGTATATGAGCCAATTGTTGAGCAAGACACACTTTATGGGGGTGTAAATTGATTTGTGCCATGAGCTAGATAATTTTTAGATTCTTTGCCACGCGGTTGAAATAGTGAGACTGAAAACCTGAAAACTACCTCCAACGTCCAAAATTTTGTGATGAATTTGTATATTGTTTTTTGAGTAATTAACACGAATGGTCTCAAACTTGTCAAAAGGTGACAATTTAGTCCCTAATTTTTTTTTTTTAACGAAACGAGTCCCAAACTATTTAAAAGGGTGTAATGTCATCCTTTCTGTTAAATGCTGTCTAAAAATAGAGATCAAATCCTAACCTATTAAAGTCGATTGAGACTAGGAGGCGTTTGGTTCATGGATTAGAATCATGAGATTAAAATCATTTTTGATTTACGTGTATTTTTTGTGAGAGAAAACACTGTAGCGAACCATAAACCATGATTCGAATCAAGGTACGAATCCTCTTACTAAACACACCCTAAAAAATCACCTCATAAAGAAATAAGGGACCATAATGTCACCCTTTTAGGTTATCATGTCGCTACTTTTTAGACGGCATCTGACAGAAAGGATTACATTGCACCATTTTAAATAATTTAGAATTCGTTTCATAAAAAAAAAAGTTTGAGAACCAAACTGTCACCTTTTAAAGAGTTTAGGAACCATTTGTGCAATTTACCTTTTTTTTTCTCATAACATAAATCCTTCCAAGCCATGAATTTGTAGCATTCCTATAAAGAGCCCAATAAGAGCGAATCAACATACCACATTTTTTAAATTTCAACTTTTACTACAAATTTTGAGCATTGTAATAATGTGCCTCTCAAATTTTAAAGTATATCTTTTGTTTCTCATAAACTAACATTGAAACGAAATTCAACCCTTCTGTTAATCTATGGGCAAAATTTACCACGTTACAAAATATGAGATAGATTGAGGTGTGAAATAATAACCTTACTCTAATAACAATACTTAGGTGACGTTTGATTTATGGGTTCAAAATCATGGTTCATGATTCTAATTTTTAAAATTTAAATTTTTTGTGAGAGAAAAATACTGTAGTAAAACCAAGAACCATGATCCTAAACCAGGCAGAATATTTAAAATAAACGCCGCCATAGTTGTGAAAATTGAGGAGTTAAAGTCTAATCTAAATTAATGTAACTAATTGTCATGACCGGGAAATTTATCAAAATAATTGTATGAGATAAAATTTTTTGAAATTCTTTGTATTATCATAATAAGTATTTGTTGATATAAATATGGAATTGCAAGTTATAAGCTAAAGTTCAAAAATTTATGAGGTATGATGCATTGACTGATTTTCAGACTACATTTAAGAATAAGGTACATAACACTGTGTTAAACCCACGAGTGGGTAAACACATGAATATTAAGGTTAAGAAATGGAAACTAATTGACAAACATCAATTCTAGGATTTTAGAAATAATTGGCACGAAACACAGACAAAAAGGGAGTTTGGAGAGCTGAACCAAGAAAATTGAGATTTTCGACCGAATAGGGTTGACCAAGTCAAAATTTATTGACCAAGAGTCAATTAATAAGTCACCCTTTACAGGATAGTCAAGGTTGAACAAAGTTGACTTAGTTGATTAACTGTCTGAAAAATGCGGGTAAAACGCGTACTAGATAGGAATTAAACTGAACCAAAATAAAATAGTTATTAGAAATGGATGGTTGACATTTAAGGTGAAAAATTAGATGAAGGGCTGAGATTGAGGCATGTGGAATGCAAGGTGGCCAGCCAAGCTTAGTGAAGAAGGAAAGAAAAGATATTTTTGCTAAAATTTGGTGAAATTTTGCAAAAAGGTCCCTCAAAAGTGCTAAAATTACATTTGAGTCCTCCCACTTTATTAAGTCCGGTTTTTAAGAGATAAAAATACCCCAAAATGTTCAGTTTTCATGCTAAGAACAGAGAGAACTCAGCCAAAGAGAAAGGAAGAAAAAAAATCACCCAAAGTGAGAAAAATGAATTTTGATCGAAATTGACCAAACGACACCGCTAGTTCGCGTCAATAAGGATTTCTCTTCATTCTCTAAGGTAAATTTTGGTTTTCTTTTCAATTTTTTCTACCTTGGCTGCATGTTTAAGTATGGGGAAAACCATGAAAATTTTTTGCTTCAGATGATGATTAAGCTTGGTGTTGTTAAGAACTTGAAAATCTAGTGATTAAGGAGGAATTCTAGGTTAATTGACCTTTGCTTCAAGAAATTCTTGGTAAGGAGAATTTTTGTGGAAATATGGAGAAATCCTAGAATTGTGATGTTATTGAGGATTAAATGGAAAGAGAAAGAATAAGAATTGTGTTTGATGGTGGAAACAACGGATAAAACAAGCTAAAGTTAGCTCGGGAAACCTAGGAAAATAGGTGGAACTCTGTTGAAATTTAGTTTGAGCATTTTGAACTAAACCGGTTTTCATGAGGAATAAGGGATTAAGATGTGAAAATTAAGTCAATTTGATAATCGGTGATGTATAGAAACCGAACACAATTTGAATTCACAGATTTGGACCAAAATTGGAAATTAGGCCCATGACTGAGGAAGGTGCACGGTTTTAGTGTGAATTCTTGAGATAGAAAATATTTTGGGATTGAATACCAAACATAAGGATTGTAGACCTTTCCGAATTAAATTTTAATATAATTATTGATCTTAGATTTTGAATCTAATGACCAGAAATTAATGCAATAGGATCGATTAACGATTGAAGTCAGAAAGCATCAAGTGAGACAAAGGACGCGACATTAGCAAAACTTCTGTAAGTATCAGTAGTTGTTCTTGTCTACAACGCGAATAACTTATTTCTCTATGTTGCTCAATCCGAGCACATTGTAGACTAAATGTGTGCTACAATGTGAATGACTCCTGAATGTTGGATACAACGTTATGCATGTATCTACAAGACTTAAGTAGCAGTAGAATTTTATTCTGTGAAAAATATGTATTGACGTCAAGGCGAGGTCAAGTTAAGAGAAAAAGTTAAACTTTAACAAAAAGTCAATCTCATGATAAATTGCTCAAAAATGCACAAAGTCATAAGATTTAACTAAAGTTACCGTTTCAATGAGAAAAGTTGATAAACGGTAAGAGATCAAACATCTTGTTTGTACCAGCCTTCAAAGGAAAGGTTATTATGAGACTATGAAAGAAATGAAACTGTGACTGAGTTGGATTGGTTAGCTACCCCATTCTTCACTGGTTATGCGCACTATGGTACAACAAGATAGGGTCCATAAGAAGTAAAAGACAAGAAAATAAAAAAAAACAGAAACCGTTCCATATAAGGGTATGATATCTGTAAAGAAGAATGAAAAGAATAAAAACACAATATGAAAGTCGTTCAGAATGTGAAAATACAATGTGAACGACTAAAGAGAGACGAAAACTGAGCAAAGTGTGTAATGAAAGAAGAAGAACATAAGCCACACATGTCCTAGTAGTACAAAGTGTCTTAAGATATATGACATGTATGCATATATGGGTATGCATAGTTACTACATCTATTATGACCTACTGTTACTTGCTGAGCGAAAGCTCATTAAGTTTGTTCGTGTTGTAGGAAGTTCGGGTAAGGCACCGGCTCCCTGAAACTTGTTGCTGGGTGTTGGGGCTCTTTTGGCGCAGGCCTGTCGACGTAGAGGGTGCGAAGCTCGTGGCCTCATTTGATTGGTCCATGTTGTATGTGCGTCGATCGTACCTTGTCAGTACGTCGATCGACAGAGGCTAGTGAGCTTCTGAGTGTGATTTTTGACGTCAAAGACGGCCCAAGTGATGACGTTGGCCCCGGATGACCCCGAGGACAGCGGTATCTGAGGGCGACACCTGTTGCGATTCCGGCTCTGAGATGGTGAAGAGTTTTCGATGAAGACTTCTAGTGAGCACATAGTGTGGGAGATGAATGTAACTCGTTTATGGAGGAGGTCCCTAAGTGGGTAATGGGGTTATACCTCTCTGTTTATGAACACAATGATTCCGACAGACGTAGTGTGTGAAGGGAGCAAAACACTCAATCTCGGGGTGCTGGGCTGTGGTTAAGGGCTTTTGGTGTTTCGGGAGCTTTTTTACCACTTCCAATGGGGAGAACACCTAGAAACTTGTTGTAGAGGGACTCTGCCAGAAGTTATGGAGAATATAATTCTCCGCCGGTCGCTCTGATAGAAACCAGAAATCCAGAGGAATTAGAACAGAGTACTTTGATCTGCCATTCTCCCTCCTTTC